CACACACACACACACACACACACACACACAAAGGAGGAGACCAACAGGAGGGAGGCAGCCCCCGGGGATCTGCGTGGGGAGTGAGGGTCCCCGCGACACGCACCTGTGCCTCTCCCCCTGGGCCAGGTACTCGATCTCCTTGAGGATCTGGCTCTTCCCGTAACCCGGGTTGCCCTCGTATATGAGGACGCGGCTGCAGCCGGTTATCAGGAACTTCTTCATATTGTCCATGAAGTACTTGATCTCCTTGTCGCGTCCTGTTATTTTTATTTTTTTAAAAAAGGAGTAGACGCATCACCATCTATGGAGATGTAGGCAAGCACACAGTGACATCGCTCCCAGGAATAGCCCTGGGGTCCCCGGGGCGTCGTCCACAGAGCCTCTGCAGACCCGGCGCGCTGTATTTCTGACCCAGGTCCTGCTATGAGCCCGGGCTCCACCACACCTAGCCTGTGGGTATTCTCAGTTTAAAAAAAATCCTCCAGAGCTTTCTAATTGGTAAGATGGCTTTACGGTTTTTATTTGGTTACCATAAGCTGTGGGGGGAAAAAAAGACACTTTCCATCTCTCTCTCTCTCTCTCTCTCTCTCTCTCTCTCTCTCTCTCTTTTGGTGGTACTGGGGATTGAACCCAGGTCCTTCCCATTCCCGGGAATGAGCTACATTCCCAGCCTTTGTTGCTTATTTTGAGACAAGGTCTTGCTATCTACGTTGCCCAGGCTGAGCTCAAATCCTCCTTCCTCAGCTTCCCAGAGCGCTGGGATTACAGGCACGGGGACAGGACGGAAGTGGTTCACAATATTCTAGGGCTTCTGAATGGAGTCAGAATATAAAAATTTGGAGGTGATCCCAGCACTCAGGAGGCTGAGGCAGGAGGATTGCTGAGAGTTCAAGGCCAGCCTGGGCTGCCATATGAGTTCAAGACCAGCCTGAGCTACACAGTGAGACCCTGTCTCAAAACAAACAGTACTTGCTTCAGTAGCACACGTTTAACTAAAATGGAATAATTTGGAAAAGACTAGCATGGTCACTGTCTAAGGACAATACAAATCTCTGAAGAATTTTTTTTTTTTTTTGAACCAGGGATCCAACCCAGGACCTTGTGCTTATAAGGCAGGTAGACGAACCACTGAACTAAATCCCCGGCCAGATTTTTTTTTTTTTTTTTTTTTTTGTACCAGGGATTGAACTTGGGTCCTTGTACTTGCGAGGCACATGGCGGAACCACTGAGCTAAATCCCTGGCCCCAGAATTTTATATTTTTTAAAAGGCAGAAAAAGAGAGAAAAAGGTAAATACTTTTAAAAAGAAAAAAAAATAATAAAGGAGCCAGCCATGATGGTGCATGGCAGCACTTAGGAGGCTGAGGCAGGAGGATCATAATTTCAAGGCTAATCTGGGCACCTTAGCTAGATCGTGTCTCAAAATAACAAAAAAAGAAAAAAAGAAAGAGGGAGGCAGAGAGAGGAGAGTGAAAAATAAAAAGAGTAGGAAACTGATACATAGGGTAAGTAAATGGCAACGGATTTATTTCAGAATATATAAATAATTCAAAATAGCTGTGATAAAAATATAGTCCACATGACAGCTGGCAGATCTGCAAAGACGTCTTATACAAGAAGCCTAACAGGGGTTTTAGTCTAGGAGGGCTGCCTCCCCCACACACATGCACACGAAGAAGGCCGACGAAGGGTCAGTAAACATGAACGAGGGGTTTCATACAAATGCAGAGCACAGGCAAACACCACGCTGCCCAACAGAATTATTAAGATTACAGCCTGGGCTGAGGATGCAGCTCGGTGGTAGAGCACTTGCCCAGCATGAGAAAGGTCCCAGGCTTGGTTCCCCAGAACTGCATAGACAGACAGACGGACAGACAGACAGACGACAGACTGACAAAAGTGTGGTTGTTGGCAAAAGTGAAGAGCAAAAGCGAAACCCTTGTATCAGTGCTGGCCCTTCTGGAGAGCTATCTGGCATCACTACCGAAATTGTACCATTTGTTCCAACAGTTTCACCTTTGTAAAATACATACACGCATTCACCAAGAGACTTGTGCAAAGCCAGGTGTGGTGGTGCACACTTGTACTCCTAGCACTTGGAGGCTGAGGCAGGAGGATTGCTGTAAGTTTGAGACTAGCCAGGGATACATAGTGTGAGACCCTGTCTCAGGAAAAAAAACAAAATAACAAAAAAAAAAAAAAAAAAAAAAAAAAAA